GTGTGTGTGTGTGTGTGTGTGTGTGTGTGTGTGTGTGTGTGTGTGTGGTGTCCCTTAGGAATTTCTACATGTAGGATCATGTTATCTGAGAGTAAAGACAGTTTTACTTCCTCCTTTCTAATCTGTGTGCTTTTTATTTCTTTTTCTTGCCTGATTTCACTGGCTAGAAACTCCTTTACAGCGCTGAATAGAAGTGAGAGAGTGGGCATCATTGTCTTTTTCCTGATATTAGGCAAAAGCGTTCAGTCTTTCATCATTGTGTGTAATTTTTGCTGTAGGTTTTTGAAGCATACTCTATTAATTTGAGGAAGCTCTCTTCTATTCCTAGTTTATTGAGAGCTTTTATCATGGATGGGTGTTGGATTTTGTCAAATGCTTTTTCCACTGTTGAGATGCTCATACCATTTTTCCCCTTTATCCTATTATACGACATCCTACATTAATATGGCATATTTGAACATGTAACCAGTCTTGTGCTCTTGAGATAAATCTGCTTGGGCATGGTGTATAATCTACTTTATATATTTTGGGATTTGCTTTGCTAATATTTTATTAAGGATTTCTATCTTTGTTCATAATGTGTATTCCTGTGTAGCTTTTTTTTCTTTGTGATCTCTTTTTCTAGCTTTGGTATTGGTAATACTGGTCTCCTAGGGTGAGCTGAGTAGTGTCCTTTCTTCCTTTATTTTCTGGAAGAGTTTTTGAAGGATTAGTATTATTTTTTCTTTAATTGTTTGGTAGAATTCACCAGTGAAGGCAGCTGAGCCTGAGCTTTTCTTTAACAGAAGATTTTACAAACAGATTCAGTGTCTTTCCTTTTTATAGGTTTATTCAGATTATTTTTTTCTTGAGTAAGTTTTGGTAATTTGTACTTCTTATTAATTTTTCCATTTCATCTAAAAGTTGTCTACTTTATTGGTATAAATTTTCCATAGTATTTTATAATCCTTTTGATTTCTGTATCAAAAAGATTTTTATATCAAAAAAAGATTTCTATGTCAAAGATTTTGATTTCTGGGGGACATCCCTGGTGGTCCAGTGGGTAAGACTCCATGCTCCCAATGGAGGGGGCCCGGGTTCGATCCGTGGTTGGGGAACTAGATCCTGCATGCATGCTGCAACTAAGAAACCCACATGCCTCAGTGTACTGCAACTAAGATGTACTGCAACTAACGTACTGCAACTAAGATCCAATGCAGCCAAAATAAATAAATAAATAAATATTTAACATATAACAAAGATTGTATTAAAAAAATGATTTTGGGGCTTCCCTGGTGATGCAGTGGTTGAGAGTCCGCCTGCCGATGCAGGGGACATGGGTTTGAGCCCTGGTCCAGGAAGATCCCACATGCCGCGGAGCAACTAAGCCCGTGAGCCACAACTACTGAGCCTGCGCTCTAGAGCCCGTGAGCCACAACTCCTGAGCCCATGTGCCGCAACTGCTGAAGCCTGCGTGCCTATTGCCTATGCTCTACAACAAGAGAAGCCACTGCAATGAGAAGCCCGTGCACCACAACGAAGAGTAGCCCCCGCTCACCGCAACTAGAGAAAGCCCGTGCGCAGCAGCGAAGACCGAACGCAGCCATAAATAATGAATAAATAAATACATACATACATACATCTTAAAAAAAACAACTGTGTTAAAGTATACATTACATGCAATAAATTGCACCCATTTTAAGTGTGTAGTTTAGTGAATTTTAACACATATACATACCCATGTAACCACTACCACAGTTAGCACCCCAAAATGTCCCCATGTGACACTTTACAATCCATTCTTCCCCTCCATCAGGTCCCAGGCAACCACTGGTACTCTTTCAGTAAGGAAAGATTCATTTTACCAGTTCTAGAATTTCATGTAAGTGGAGTCCTGTAATACACTCTTTTGTGTTTGTGTCTTTTGTGCAGCAGAGTGCATTTCTTTTTATTGCTGAATTGTATTCTTTTGGATGGATATACTTCAGTTTGTTTATCCACGCATCTGTTGATGGCCATTTGACTGTTATCAGTAAAACTGCAGTGCACACTTATGCTCAAGCCTTTGTGGCGGTACAGTTTTTTCTTGGCTGCACCGCACTGCATGTAGGATCTTGGTTCCCTGACCAGGGATTGAACCAGTGCCCCCTGCAGTGCAAGTGTGGAGTCTTAACCGCTGGACCCACCAGGGAAGTCCCCTACAATTTTAAATAAAAGTAGTGATAGTACACTTTTGTCCTAGATGTTAAAGGAACTGCTGTCAATACTTCCTCAATTGACTGCAATCTTTGCTGTGATTTTCTGGTAGATACTCTTTATCAGATTAAGGAAATTCCCTTCAAATGGTAGTTTGATAAAAGTTTCAGAGGTTTTTGTTTCTTTGTTTTATAATCGTGAATAGATGTAGATGTTGGAGTTTTTGGAATTCTTTTGAGATGAGCACGAGTTTTTCTATTCTGCTAATGTGACGAATTATATCTATGGGTTTAGAAATGTAAAGCTACCCTTGCATTCCTGAGATAAACAAAGTTTTCTAATTTAAAACTTTTTGAATGTTTTGGCATAATCATGATATTCTCTTAATATCTGTAGCATCTGAAATTATAGCTGCCTTTTTATTCCTTATATTGATTATTTGTGCCTTTTATACTTTTTTTATAAATTTATTTGTTTTATTTATTTACTTTTGGCTGCCTTTGTTTCTTTGTTGCTGTGCATGGGCTTTCTCTAGTTGTGGCGAGCGGGGTGGGGGGGGCACTCTTCGTAGCAGTGCGCAGGCTTCTTATTGCAGTGGCTTCTCTTGTTGTGGAGCATGAGCTCTAGGCACGAGGGCTTAATTAGTTGTGGCACGTGGGCTCAATAGCTGTGGCTCGCAGGCTCTAGAGCGCAGGTTCAGCAGTTGTGGCGCACAGGCTTAGTTGCTCCGTAGCATGTGGGATCTTCCCGAACCAGGGCTCAAACCTGTGTCCCCTGCATTGGCAGGCAGATTTTTAACTACTGCACCACCAGGGAAGCCCCTTTTATTCTTTTTGATCAACTTTTCTGGAGGTTTAACAGTTCTATTATCCTTTATAAAGAACCAACTTTGCTTTTGTTAATTCTGTTTTATATTAATCTTCCATTTCATTAATTTCTCTTCTTTTTATAGCATTCATTTTACATTCTTTGAGCTTATTTTGCCTCAAAATTGATTGTTTCCTTTTCTAATACATACATCTAAACCTATAAATTTCTCTCAATGTACTATTTGATCTATATTCTCGAAGTTTGTTTCATTAAATATTTTTTATCAAGGTAGTATATTTAGATAGTTTTAAAAGTCATGTAGTTTTACAAGGATTGTCATGGAAAAACAGCAAAATGGAAGTCCTTCATTTCATGATTATTTCTGTAGATGCTGAAAAGGCATCCTCCAAAATTCAACGCTTGTTCCTTATTTGAAAGTAAATACTTGAGAAGATAGGAATGGATGGATGCTTTTTTTAAAAAAATTGTGGTAAAATACACATAACATATTTACCATCGTAACCATTTTTAAGTGTATGATTCACTGGTATTTGAGTACAGGCATATTGTTGTGCAACCATCGCCACCATGCATCTTGCAAAACTGTAACTTCATACTCCTTAAAGAAGAACTCCCCATTTCACCCTTCCCCAGGCCCTTGGCAATCACCATTCTACTTTCTGTCTTTATGATTTTTGACTACTCAAGGTACCTCTTGTAAGTGGAATCGTACAGTATTTATCTTTTCGTGACTGACTTATTTCACTTAACCTGTATCTTCAAGGTTCATCCATATTGTAGCATATTTCGGAATTTCAGTCCTTTTTAAGGCTGAATAATATTCCATTGTATTGGGACTTCCCTGGCGGTCCAGTGGTTAAGACTCTGCACTCCCAATGCAGAGGGTGCGGATTCGATTCCTGGTCGGGGAACCGAGATCCCACATGCTGCACGGTGCAGCCAAAAAATTAAAAAAAAAAAAATTCCATTGTATGTATCTACCACATTTTGCTTAACCACTCATCTGTCAATGGTTACTTGGGTTGCTTCCATGTTTTAACTATTGTGAATAACGCTACTGTGACCATGGATGTGCAGGTATCTTTTTGAAACCTTGCTTTCAATTCTGAGTATATACCCAGAAGCAGAATTGCTGGATCATGTGATAATTCTATTTTGAATTTTTTGAGGAACCGCCATACTGTTTCCCAAGAGGCTGTACCATTTTTACATTTCCACCAACAGTACACAGGGTTCCAATTTCTCCCATTCTCATCAACACTTGTTATTTTCAGTTGTTTTGACAGTAGCCTACCTAATGGGTATAAAAGGTGGTTATCTCATTGTAGGTTTGATTTGCATTTCCCTAATTAGTGATGTTGAACACCTTTTCATGAATACTCTTTTACTTGAAAGAATAACTCAGAGGCAGGGACTTCCCTGGTGGTACAGTGGTTAGGAATCCGCCTACCAGGGCAGGGGACACGGGTTTGATCCCTGGTCTGGGAAGATCCCACATGCCATGGAGCAACTAAGCCCGTGTGCCACAACTACTGAGCCTGCTCTCTAGAGCCCACGAGCCACAACTCCTGAGCCAGCACACCTGGAGCCTGTTCTCTGCAACAAGAGAAGCCACTGGAATGAGAAGCCCGCACACCACAGCGAAGAGTGGTCCCCGCTCAACAGAACTAGAGAAAGCCAGTGTGCAGCAACGAAGACCCAACACAACCAAAAAAAGAAAAAGAAAAAAAAAAAAAACTCAGGGGCAAACTGTTTGGTTTTTTCAGATGTGGATGTTTGGCAAGTAGATTTTCACAAATGAATGGAGTGACCCTGTCACTTCAAGAAAAACAACTGAAAGTATATGTTATTGATGATAAAGTTCTGGTTTTTGAGCAAAAATTACAGTTTTGGAACATTTGATCTGCCTCTGTGAGCTTGAAAGCTTTCCTGTACTTAAAGACTTTTTGGTAAGATTGGTTGGTGATGATATTAAAGAATGTGATTCTTAAAATGCTATAGAATGAAGCATTTGAAAGATCTGCATAAATTAGTAAGGTAATATTTTCCAAATAAATGATGCATGATATTATAAAGTATGCCTGTGTAAAATATACATCCAATCTACAATGTAGATTAATAGATTTTAATGTAACAGTACAGAAAATTTCTTGTTGTGGTTTCAGATTCTACATTGCAGCCAGAGATTTGTTTGCGCTTGCTTTTAATATTCATTGGCCCATCATTTTATTTTTAGCTTTTCTGAGTCAGTTTAGGTTTGTTTCTTTAATAGTGCATAGTGTTGGGTTTTGCTCTGTGAGCCAAGCCAGAAATCCATTTTTTTCTTTTGGTAAGTGAATTAATCCGTTCACATTTATTGAAATTACAGAATGTTTGATTTATAGTTACTCTGTATATTATGTTATCTCTGTGATGGTTTTTCTTTTTTTTTGCTCTTCGTTTTACTTTCTTCATCTAATTTTTATTCTTGTTCTTCTTCCACTTTTGTCCATTTACCCTTATTAAGTTTCCATTCAAATCTGGTCTGTATTATACTCTTCATTTTTGATGTGATTACTGTTTCTTCTGTCATTTCTGGGGTCAGTCAACTCTTGTTTCATTACTTTTTTTTTTAATCTTTATTGGAGTATAATTGCTTTACAATGGTGTGTTAGTTTCTGTTTTATAACAAAGTGAATCAGCTATACATGTACATATATCCCCATATCTCCCCCCTCTTGCGTCTCCCTGCCTATCCCACCCCTCCAGGCGGTCACAAAGCACCGAGCTGATCTTCCTGTGCTATGCGGCTGCTTCCCACTAGCTAGCTATTTTATATTTGGTAGTGTATATATGTCCATGCCAGTCTCTCACTTCGTCCCAGCTTACCCTTCCCCCTACCCGTGTCCTCAAGTCCATTCTCTGTATGTCTGCGTCTTTATTCCTGTCCTGACGCTAGGTTCTTCAGAACCTTTTTTTTTTTTAGATTCCATATATATGTGTTAGCGTACGGTATTTGTTTTTCTCTTTCTGACTTCCACAGACCCTAGGTCCATCCACCTCACTACAGATAACTCAATTTCGTTCTTTTTTTATGGCTACTTCCATTTTTTTGGTTCAATTTTGGACTTAGTTTTTGAATTGCAATTCAAGTTGTTTTTTTTGTTTTTCATATACCTAAACTGGGATATTTAATCCAGCTTGGATTTTTGTGTTAGTTTTCTTCTGTGCATGTTGTTGTTGGTGGAGTCGGTAGCTAAGTTGGTAAAATCTTTACCAGCTCATGTGTTTTTGTTTTCTCTTTTCTTCTGTAGCTTTGTATGGATGAAGAGTGCTTGTGTCTGCCTGTTGAAGACTATTCAAGACTTGATTTGGAGTGGTTTACAAGATTCCTCACTTAAAGCGCCCTCTTGTGTCATTACAGTGATGTGCACCTCTTCAGTGGGTGGCGCTGAGGGATGAATGTAGTGTCTAAGTGAAGGGTTGGTCTTCACCAGGATGGTTCCAGCCATTGAAACAGGGGAGGAGCATATGTGACAGAGATGCTGGCTGGTGGGTAAACGTTGTGGCAGTATATTGCAGAAGTCTCTTCTGATTGATTGCGTTTTCTCAATAAAATAGGAAGAAGGTTAGGCTGAGTGAGGATGGAAGAGAGAAAACTACTGTGTTCCGCTGGGAAGACATTGGGATAATAGACAATGAATATACAGCTAGATCTTTTCATGTCATTAAATACATTCACAACATATTTTTATTGTTTGCTCGCAGTTCTGTTTTATGGCTTAAATTATGGTTCTGTGATCTTTTAAAACCAGTTTCCTATTGGTGAACGAAAAAGTTGTTTCCGATTTCCTACTGTTATAAATAAAACGGAGCAGTGTCTCTTGCTATACCATTCCTAAACCTGGAGTTCTTAAATTTTTTGTTGTTAAAATTTAAGAATGGTTATCTTTTTCATTGGTTCATAAACTGTAGTCACATTATACACTTGTAGAACATAAATTTTAGGAGTGTGGTGATATTTGTAATATAATATTGCAATACAAAAATTTCCAAGCATGAATAATAAGATTCTAAATATGTACTTTTATATAGTGGTACTGATTATTATTAGAAAAATGAAATTGAAACTATTATCATAATATTGTTTTATTGCTGTGAAAAATAATAGCATCACTAACTTGCTGTATACATTAGAGTCCACCAAAGTTAGTGACGCTTCTTACCAAAGTCTTTTTTGAAAATATGAGTCAGAATTATTTTGGTTGTAACCTAATCCCACAAAAGCAAGAAAGGGAATTGCTTATACTCAAGCAAAGGTATATCAGACAAGACCTGGGAAAGTAAGAAACAATGATGGATCCTGGGCCCTTAGCACCAGGAGTATGTGAGCTGAGAGTGAGTCATCTCTCAGCGCCCATTGCAGTCTTCCACATTCACTCCATGGCTGTGATAGGAAGGAGGGAAAGATAATGCACTAGAATCGTCCAGAGGAAGTCACAGGGGAGAGGGGCTGAGTTGATGCTTTAAGAGGGTTCATTACAAGAAGCTTCAATAAGTTAATGAAATTGTGCAAGGGAGTGGTTATATTACCTGTAGAATTGATACTTCATATCTTCTTTAAAGATCACATACAGTGTAAAGGAATTCAGGATCTTGTCATAGGGCACAATTGTAGAAGGTACATTTTATGGCCAATCTGTACATAAGCTAACATTGGCTGACATAAAGTTTATGTATAAGAAAAAAGTAATTCTTATATTCCAAGAGACAGTACCCACCTCACCTGTAAACTTAAAAGACCAAGCAGAGATTTGAGGGAGTGAGAATCAGAGAAGTTTAAATAGCTACAACTATCATTATTTTGAAGAGGCAGACATCGCTGTGTCAGTGAAATCTCTTAACTTGTGTTAAATCAAGTTGAGGGAGAGACGTTTTCCCTTAGATGTGCCCTGTGCACCTAAAGCAGCCATCAGGCTGTGGGTCTCTAGTCTGTGGGTTATTACAGCCCTTTCTAACTGGACTCCAGCCTCCAATTTCCACTTTCTACTCTACAATTCTCTAAAGAGAGCTTTTCCTCAGAGCAGATTTCCCAATGTACTGCTTCAGTCATGCCTCCACTGTGTTGTACCTTGAATCAGGGTCTGTTTGTCTGCCTGGCTGTAAGTGCTCTGAAGTCTGGCCATCTCGGCCATACGAGGCTTTAGTGCCCATTGGCCTCTGCTCCTCTCTGCTCCCTTGGGTTTCCTCTTATGAAGTAAATCTCACTGACCCTTGATGCAGCTCCAAGCAAGTATGAGTATAATAATACCATAGGTAAAAAAAAATCTGAACCAGAGGAAATATAAGCAAGAAAGTTGTAATGGGGAAAGCCGTACATGGATTTACATGTCATTTGGTCAGCATGGTTATCATGGCTGTATTAAATTTATCTCTGATCTTTTTAAAAATTCTTTTGGCTGCACTGCGTGGCATGCAGGATCTTAGTTCCCCGACCAGGGATTGAACCCATGCTCCCTGCAGTGGAGGCATGGAGTCTTAACCACTGGACCACCAGGGAAGCCTTATCTCTGATCTCTTTTGGAGCCAAAACAAAAAGGATGAAGCGGTTATCTATTTACCTCTCATTTTCAGAAAAGAGGGAGGGTGCAAAGCCTAACTCTTCTAATAATACTTCATAAAAATGGTTCTTACGTAGGTCTTCATTATGGAAATCACTGAGTAGAATGGAGAGAATTCTTATTTCTAAGATTCTTTGTGACAGGTTTCATATAACTTTTTTACAGTCAGTTACTGAAAGCCACGTGACAGCAAAACTCAATTTTTGTCATTTGGTAAGAGAATATAAGTCACGTATGTAGTCTTCCAGTGTGTTAACTTGATCTAGTTGTAGAATGTCAGGAATTCAGGCGCAGAGGTATTGAATGACCTGCTCCCTGTCTTAATAGGATTCCTGACTTCCAGCACAGGTACCTCAGTTCACTGACTGGTTTTAATAAACATAACCATTGAGGGGTTAAAAAAATACTGATGCCTGGGGCCCACTCCCAGAAATTGTGACTTTGGGGAGTTTGGGGGGAAGGCTGGGATGTGGACATAAGATTTTTCAGTAGTTCCCAGATGGTTCTACATACAGCCATTGAAAACCACTGGTCTCAACAACTAATGGGAGTGCCATTCTTGCCAGTAATTGCTTTAAGCTTTATTTGTTGTTGTTTTGTTTGTTTGTGTTTTGGCTGTATTGGGTCTTCGTTGCTGTGCCCCGACTTTTTCTCTAATTGTGGTGAGTGGGTACTACTCTTCGTTGCAGTGCGTGGGCTTCTCGTTGTCGTGTGCGGGCTCCAGAGCGCAGGCTCAGTAGTTGTGGCGCACGGGCTTAGTTGCTCCGCGGCATGTGGGATCTTCCCGGACCAGGGCTCGAACCCGTGTTCCCTGCATTGGCAGGCGGATTCTTAACCACTGCGCCACCAGGGAAGCCCCGGTTTAAGCTTTAAATACGAATTCGTGTCCTCTGGTGTGCTTCTGGAGAAGCTAACATCTCTTGAGATAGACGGGAAGAGGTTAGACGTTGCCATGCCTAAATAGACTCCCAGAACTGATGCAGCTGTCTTAGGGACCTCAAGGGGAGCCAGCTAAGCAGCTGAAGACGACAGAGAAAAGAGATGGGAAGAAGCTGGGTCCGTGAGAACAACTGAACCATGGAATTCTCCGCTCTTAGAGAGGAGATAGCCAACCTTCAGATTTCATGTTACGGCACATGAAATCATATATTCTCCTTACTGTTTAAGCCATTTTGATTTGGGCTTTATATTACTTGCAGCCAAAGGCAGGCTAATACGTGTGAGCCAAGGATAAGCGACTTTTGTCCATCCGAAGGCCATGGGTCCCCACTCACCGCCCTCCTCACCGGAGGCTGTATTCACCGTCTGGGCTCCTGCAGGCAGCACACAGTAAGAAACGAGTGTATTTATTTTTGTGGTCGACATCTCTGAAATTGGGATGTACTTTACAGTTGATAGAATATCATATTTTCATTGGCAGGTTATTTTTTCTTATTGGTGCATTAAAAATGGTGGCTCTTATTAAGTTACTGACATTTAGATTTGGTTTAATGTAATTTTTAAATGAAATTACATATGTGTATAGGGAAAAATTTACTGTGAAATAAAATTTGTTATGGGATTTATTTTGGATTAAGGAATTACGAAAACATAAAAAGGTTTTTAATGAAAACAAGTGATTCCCTGTATCCTCCCTTTTTCCCACCCCTTTGTGGGAAGTTGAATTCTAAGACGGCTCCCAAGATTCCTCGTCCCCAGTGAACACAGCCTGTATAACCTGCCGAGTGTGAGCATCACTGTGAGTAGGATGGACTTCACTCCCATGGTTAACTTATATTATATGCCAAAGATGAAGTGGTTTTTACCTTTGGTGTAACTAAGATCTCAAATCAGTTGATTCTGAGTTAATCAAAAGGGAGATGATCCCAGGTGGAGCCTAAGTAATCAGATGAATCCTTGGAAGAGACTGGGCTCTTCCTGAAGTCAAAGATTAGAAGCGTCAGATTCCCCTACTAGCCTTGAAGTAAGCTGCCCTGTTTCGAGAGGGCCGTGTATCCAGAACTGTATCCAGAACTGTACCCAGAACGACAGGGAAGAAACGGGAGCCTCAGTCTTAAAACCACAAATTACTGAATCCTGCCGACAGCTTTAAGAACTTGGAAGAGGTGCTCCAGGCTTGTTTTGTATGTTCCTACCTTGGCCCTTGAATGGGCCATTTCTCTAAGGAGCCCAGATTCCTTTTAATTGAGAAGACAGTCCCCAACTTAAAATGGTTCCACTTAGTGATTTTCACACACGATGGTGTGAAAGTGATTGCATTCAGTAGAAACCATGCCTGGGTTTTTGAGTTACGATCTTTTCCCTGGGCTAGCGGTATGTGGTAGAACGCACTCTCATGATGGGCAGCCCTGCAACATGAGACTAAACAACCGAGAGCTTAACGACCATTCTGTACCCAGACAACCTCCTGTTTTTCACTTTCAGTACAGTATTCAATACATTACATGAGATAGTCAACACTTGATTATAGATTAGGCTTTACGTTAGATGATTTTGCCCAACTAACTATAGGCTAATGTAAATGTTCTGAGACATTTCAGGTAAACTAGGCTAAGCTACAATGTTCAGTAGGTTAGGTGTATTAAATGCATTTTCAGCTTATGATATTTTCAGCTTACAGTGGGTTTATTGAGACGGAACCCCATCGCAAGTCGAGGAAAATCTGTAGTAGTTACAATCCAAGATCTGGGTGCTGGATGTGCTTATTGCTTTTGAGTCTGGTCAGCTGAAGACAGGCCCTGAAGATGTAGTGTGAACCGTCATACAAATCAATGACAATTTAGGGAGGAGTGGATACGGCTTTTGAGGAGCTCCCCATCTCTTCTGCCTGGTCTGGGGGACTATGGGTCCTGGTCTTCAGTTGTCATTTTGGGGCTCTTGATTTTCAAGGCTGCTGTGGAGCTGGGGAGAGGAGAATGGGATTAGGGCAAGTCATTGTCACGAGGCGTTTTACCCAGATGCAGCTGTTTTTCATGAGTAAATTCTCTTTGAATTGTTGTAAGGCTTTAATTTCCAGAATTCTGCAAAAGTTGATTTTCACTGTTTTTGCCAGTGTTCTCTCATGCCTTTTATGGAGTAGTAGGTTTCAGAGATTCTTAGTCTGTCATTCCAGAAGTGGTAACAACAGTTCACTTTTTTTTTTTAAAGAAGACGTTGGGGGTAGGAGTTTATTAATTAATTAATTTATTTTTGCCGTGTTGGGTCTTCGTTTCTGTGCGAGGGCTTTCTCTAGTTGTGGCAAGCGGGGGCCCCTCACTATCGCGGCCTCTCTTGTTGCGGAGC